TGGTTCATTGCTACTGGCAGCGCTGATCACTTGAGCGTTGCCTTACCCTTCCCACTGTGCCCTTCAGAACCCTGTCTTACCTCCCATTTGCAGCTGAACATAACTGCTTGCTGCTCTCGTGGCTCCCGCAGTGACATCGGGCAGCTCTCACTGCTGGGCAGGGGAGCAGCGGGCAGGGTCACCCACACCCATCCCGGTTCTGTGCTGTGCTCCCTGCCCAGGACCACGCTCCAGCCTTCCTTGTGCTGTGCTCCCTGCCCAGGACCACGCTCCAGCCTTCCTTGTGCTGTGCTCTCTGCCCAGGACCACGCTCCAGCCTTCCTTGTGCTGTGCTCCCTGCCCAGGACCACGCTCCAACCTTCCTTGGGAGCTCCCTGTCAGCCCGTCCTCCCGGATGCTCCTGGCTCTCAGCTCCCATCCCCAGTAATTGCCCGGCAACATCTATTTGCATTGCTTTGTACGCTGCTGCCTTTTATGGAGGGGGAAGTGTATTTGCACTTCGCCGAGTGTTTTCGAGCCCCGGCAAGGGCAGAAGTATGGCAGATGGGTGGGGATGAGAGAATCGGGAGCATGATGAATCTGTTTTTCTTACCTTGTTTAAAATTGCCTGTTAAAATTCAGCTGCCGCACCTCCGATCAGCCTAATGGTGTCTGCCATGTTGCGAATACACAGTCATTAGTTGGTCCAATTCATGCATGCTGAGGTAGGAGGGTGATGTGAATGCAAAGGAGCTGGAGAGAATGGGAGCTGGGGGGGCAGAGGAAGGAGGGGGAGAAGCTCGGTAATACAGTGACAATGAAACATACGGTAGTCACACTGGAAAACTTTCTCCTTCATTAGCAGGGATCTGTTGAGTTTCTGCTCACATTAGGGTAATTAACACAAGTACAGATTGTTGAACATCTGTGCAGTTTAACTATATGGCCGGTTCCCAGGCTTTAAACAGGGCTGTGAGGAGCCAAATGCAAAGCAGTATGAAAAGCCCACACACTATTCATTTTACTGAAATTAGCATTTCTGGATGAAAGCTGATGTTGCACGTCGGCTATAAATTTTCTCTGGTCTGTTGCCAGGTTGGCTAATGATCTGAGGTTAGTGTTTGTTAAAAAAATTTTAAAATTTGTTACTTTTAATATTCTGGAGGGGAAGTTTCTCTCTCGCTCTTCTTTTCCTAAAAGGCAAAACAAAAAGCAAGCAAAACAAAGCATATGGGTATATTATATCTAATGTGCTTCTAATCTTTTTTCCAGTGCAAGCCCAGGAAGGAATTGCTGGTTCAGCCTCCATCAGGGGCTGTTGGCTTGGTGGAACCACCGAGGCTTTTTAGTGTTTCTGACCAAACTGGGGTTTTAATTTTCCAGCCTTGTAAATGCCTGGGAGGCTCTGCCGACGGTGTGCTGTGTAAATAGAATGCAGAATTCTGTCTGCAGGATGGCGACTACACAGATATTGCTCCTCCACACATCACCATCCCTGAACTCTGGCTGTGTGCAAACGGGGCTGCCACTGCAAAGGTGGAGCTGTATTTATGGGGAGCCTCCTGTGCTGGTTGTCCCAGGGGAGTGCTGTGTTGCTGCAGCATCTTGAAGCTTCCTCCTTGCTCCTTTTTACCTTTCCAGCTGAGAGCATCTGGGCCAGGAGGCTTCACAGACTCCTGAGTGTCACAAGTTCTCCACAGAGGCCCCCCCAGGCCACCATTGCCTCTTACACCTTGGTCCCTCAGAGCCAGTGCTCGCTGGCCAAGGTTTGTTCATTCTTCTTCCCTTTGTGGAAAGGCACAGGCCAATTTTTCTTTAAATGGATGATTTGTGAAGCCTCCTTTACATGGGTTCCCTGACACTCATCAGTCATGGTCATGTTTCTGATAGTGGATTTTAAACATCTTTTCACTTTGCACCTAGATATTTTCACATGCGACCATCCACTATTTTCTCTTCTTGATATGATTCCCCTTGTGACTTTTTTCTAACCATCTTTTGGTGTGGTGCAGTTGTGGATTGACTTGGATGTTCTGGCTGTACTTACACTTAAGCCTTGGAGCAATATTTTTTTCAGAAGTGAAATTGTGGTGGGGGTTTTTCCCCACATTTTTTTCACAAGTGGAATGAAGTGTTCAAGGCCAGGCTGGATGGGGCTTTGAACAACCTGGTCTAGTGGGAGCTGTCCCTACCCATGGAACTAGATAAGCTTTAAAGTCCCTTCCAACCCAAACCATTCTGTGATTCTATGAGTTGCTGTGAGGCAGATAGCCCTTAGAGCTGGGACAACAATTAGTGCACCATGTGTGTCAGGAAATTCTGTTTTAATGGAGAAGACTTTCATGTGTGAAGATAAAAAGCCTACCAATGTGCATAAAAAGAATAATCCTCATTAGCACAATTTTGTCCCTGCTGTTTTCACTAAGTAAAAAAATTTTGTTCGTGGTGGAGTTTTTTTAATGTAATCCCTGTGGGCTGATGTGAACAGAGCTGACCTTTGAAACCCTATTTAAATTTTAAAAGGTTTGTATATTTTTTTGTTTAATTGGGAAAGGAAGAGGCTTGGTGTCTTGGAGGAAATACAATTCTTGCCAAGAGTGAGTGATTTGATCCTTTAGTTCACCCTCAGCTCCTGCTCTGTAATGGCCCAGGATTTAGCTTGGCATCACTTGAAGTTGTTGGTGGAATTGTTGCTGTTGCACCCACCAGCTCCTCAACAGTCTGCTGGCAAACATCAGAGCTGTCAGAGCTTCATATTCTTTGTGACCAAAAGACCTTCTGGGACCCAAATGCAGTCTTCAGATTCAGTCCTGCAGGCACCTGGGCCTCAGGAGCACCATCCCCATCCCTGTCAGACAGCCCTGTGGATGCCCTCTGGTTTGGCAGGGACAGATCTCTTCCTGGGGTGAAGGTGTCTCCATGAGACAGACTTGCTGAATTGTATAAAACTGTGCAAGTTCAGTTAAATATGTGGTTTATTTTTTAATTAATCTAGCCCAAAAGGAAACTTGGGCTGGCCTACTTACTCTTGTAACAGTTTTGCAGGTAATTATTTGCGTGTGTGTGTGCCCAGGAGCTTAGTTAGGAAAAGAAATGTTTATCTCCATTACACTTGTACCCTCTCCATAAAGGATGTCAGAAGGTGGCATGTAGTTTGGTAACAACAAGGGACACATTTAGGTCAGAGAGCATCTGTTTCAAGATGATGATAGAGGGCATTGGCCCTTTCAAAGCAGGGTATGCAGTGAATTGAGCATTGAGATCTCCTCTGGGATGGTCTTGCCAAAAGGGTCCTGACTCCTTGGTTAAGAAGTACTTGTTTAAGCCTAAATTGGAAAAAAAAAAGTATCCTTACTTTTACTGTTTGGTTTTTTTCCTGGACTTGATAATAGGGTTACTTTGAGTACTGACAAAATTGTGTAACTGTGGCAGTTTGAGCCACAGAAGGTGATAAGGGTGTTCAGACTTACCCAGGTTAACATCTGTGCTCCCTGGATTTCTCTGCTTGAATTTTGTTTGATCTCATTCAGGGAACACCCAGCCCTATGCAAGAGAGTCATGCTCAGGAAAAAAACCCACAACAGTATTCCTGGTGAAAAAAACCAGACAAACCTGGATTATTTTCACTATTAGGCAAACCAAAGTCACCTCTTGGGGTCTGTGGAACTGACCATGAAATGAAAGGGCTGCTAAATCTGCAGATACACAGCCAAAATGAACCTTTATTAATGCCCTGCTCTGCCTCAGCCTTCTTCTTAGGAATATTTCACACAGACTGGACTTAAAATGCTTATTCTGTTCCCAAGGAGCAGAAAATGGCAATGCATCCTGAGAAGTGGTTTCAGGATTGTGGAAGATAGCAAAACTGTAGCTGGTGAAAGGAGCTGTCAGCCTTCAGTGACGTGGCTGTATCTGAGAATGTACTTGCAATGATTCTTCTGGCAGAGTTTTCCAGTGTGTGCACTGTGTGTCTCTCCCTGGCTGGGAGGCTGTAGGGCATGCACTGAGAAACTTGGGGATGTCATTTTGAAGGATTCCCAAAGCTTCCTTGGAGTTTTCACTTCATACATCACTTGGCCAACTGCAAAGCAGCAAGTTCTCTCCTTCTCCTGCTTTGAGCAGAAAGATGTATTTAAATAAATACCTAAAATAAGGTTGGACAACTTGAGACTGTTGTTTGGGTGGGCTGCATATCCTCAGCCACCTCTCAGACCTTTATCAAACCCCGAACTGAGTGTGTCCTGCTAACTCTGCAGTTGTGTGGTTGGAATTATCTCCATTGTGTCGATGGGAACACTGAGGCAGATTGGAAATTACTTGCCCTAGGCCTTCTAATGCTGACAATAGACCACACAGTCCCTCAGCCTCTTTCTGTGCCAAAACCATTCTCTTGTGCCTGCATATGGAAAAAACAGAGTAGATGGAGCGGAGAGTGGTATTTGTTGTGATAACAATGTGCGTTGGGTCCCAGAGGGCCGTCGGACAGTGATGGATACATCGCTGGGAAATTAAAATCACCAAGAGAGGCACAGAAGGAAGGGCTGGGGTGGTGGTTGCCAGGCATGGAGGTGGACAGGGGAGCAGGCAGGGAGGTGCAGCGTTAGCGGGTCCAGCAGCCCCTGCGCCAGCAGCCCCATTTGCATTCCCCTGTCAGGGAGCTGGAAGCTGCCATGGAGCAGTTTATACTCCAGCCTGTGCTGGCCTTGAATTATGCATGACCAATTTATCATGCCCCCAGCTGAAAAACTAATTGTGTCCCTGGGATATATTTACTAGAAATTGTAGTTTGCTGTGCTGGGGTCCCCGGAGTGTCCAGCAGAGCAAACGACTGGGAAGTCGGAGTGTGTTCAGAACAGGACTCTTGGCTCCACTGGAGCCCCTGTGCTGTTGATGGATTTTTCACTTCGATTGCCTTTCCGAGGGTTTTCCCCCTCCTTCCTATTTTTCTTACACTGCATTACACTTAATCGGGCTGCAGGAGTCCTTCCAGTAGTCTCTCCAGTATTAAAAATCACACAATGTGCCTGAATAAAGGCAGTTTATTTAGGAAATGCCAACCAGGTTGGGGGGAAAGGGGCTTGTTTTTTCTCTGTGTGGTTTTTCTTTTTTTTTTGTTTTATAAGCACAGTGTGGCTTCGTGTAATGTCTCCAATTACCGTGAACGTCCCCTCCCTCTCCAGGTCTAGAGTGATGAGGTTCCCTAATTACTGTCATTTGAGCAAGAGGTTGAGGAGGAGAGGATTTCTTTTCCTCATACAGGGCTTGTGGGGTGGGCTGAAGCTTGCAGATGGTGTTACCACTACGTCTGTGTAAGGAACGTGGAATGCTCCAAACAGAGTTTCTCAGTGATGAAATGAAAACTGTCAAACCTGTATCTAGCTGTAAACCCTCTCATAAGATAGAGCTAAGCCATAAAGATCATCAGTGGGGGCGAGGTTTGAAAGGGAAGGAGGTAATTCACTGATAAATTAATCACCAAGTTCAGTCTGTCCTCCCCCACTTGTCACGGAAGGAGGATGTCAAGGAGTTAATCACAATAAAGGAGTCAACAGTAACACGACTCAGAGGCAGAGGAGCCCTCTGGAATCTTGTTCCCCTTCTATTCCCCTCCATGTCTGATCTCATCCAGCTCCGCCTGATGCCGTTTGCAGCGAGGAGCCCCATCTCCAGGGTCACCAGGAGCCGTGCCAGCTCTGTCTGCATGGCTTCACTGCTGGCAGCACAGGCAGGGAAATGGGAAGGCCTGCTCTTCTGGGAGGCTGGGAGACCACAGGCCAGGGCTTAGGAGAAAGGGATTGCTCCTCCTCCACCACGGGCAGGAGCCTTTCTCGTGGCCGTGCCGAACCGGGCCGTGTGCTCCATGGTCAGGCTGTGCTCTCCCACTGCATTGATGGGATTTACTGCATGTCCTCCTGGGAGCTGAGCTGTAGGGAGTGAACTGGGCTGGAGGAAAGGTGCTGGCAGAGGTGCTTTCTTAAATAAATTTAAGATCTAGGAAGCAGCTTGTGCAAACACTTGTTTGCAGCGAGCGTGTTGCATGGGAAGTTGAAAGAAGTGAAAGTGGTTTTGTGTACTTTCTAAATGTCACAGATTTGGATCAGCTTTTAAACATTGAAAAGCTCCCTACAGCTTACCTCTTTGTAGTTCCCCAAATTTGTATTCATCATCTGTTCCCCAGAAAGATCTGGTGAAAAGATTTTGTTCAGGTGACTACACATCTTGCTGCAGAAAAAACTGTGTGATGAAACCATGCTCCTCTTTGCTGAAATACGTGATACAACCAGCACAAAAGTGGATCTGAAGCTTCTAAAATCATTTCAGAGGGAAGGCATAAACAGGTTTTTCCCTGAATGCAGCCAACCAGAGCAAAACCAAGACTAGAGAGTTCAAGGTTGGCATGGACTGCCAAATCAGGACCACCCTTTATCCCCTCAAACCCTGGTGAATGGGAAAAAGTCATGAGTCTGGAGAGAATGTCCTTGCAGATCCAACTCAGTGAGGTTGCTTTGCTCCTGTGATGCTGTTGAATCTGCTGATTTCCAGAGAAGAGTGGGCTGCTCATGGAGCTCAGGGGCTCTTGTCCATGCAGAGACAAAGGAAATTCTTAAGCCGAGCTGTACAGCATCTGTTACAGTCCATTTTTCTGGAGGATGTTGTAGCACTTACTGTGCTTTTTGAACAGCAGGGAGAACACAAGACAGACTGGAGGATAGGATGGAGACCACTTTAATGTAACAGCATTGGAAAGAGCAGGGTAGGAGACAATGTGAATCACAGCATCTTTTGTTATTTTTTTTTAGCTGCAGCAACTGAGTGTCTGGATGCTTTTGCCCTTTCATCATTCAGAACAAAACATATTAGCGAGTCCAGGTTATGCTCCTTTTGCTGGTGGTTCTTATTAGCTTGTTAATGATCTTGCTAAGGTTTTAAGTGCCTACAAATGTGAGTTCAGGGATAACTCGAGTTCAGGGCAGCCGTCCTTGGCAGGGTGTCCTGATTTCTCCTATGAAAATCTTCCATGTTTTGTTCTCTTCCAGCCCCTGTTAACTTGTCATTATAAACTGAGGAAAAAAATCACTGGCACTGTGTTGCCTTATGGATATTGCTCTTCCCTGAACCTGCCTTCAGTGCTCTTTCCAAGGGAGCTTGTCTGTCTGGCAGTTGACAGCTTCTGGGTGGCTCTGGTGGTTTTTCTTCCTCTGTTTTATTATTCAAGCACTTTTGGCTTTGCTGCTTTTTGTCAGTGCGTTCCTGTGCTGTGCTCAAGTTGCCTGAGCTGTTTGGTTTTCTCCCGTTTGCTTTGCTGCTGCTGTGGGGACGAGAAGCTGCAGCTCTGCAGGGTAAGGTCGGGTGCAGAGTAACCCACAAACAAGCCACAGTGGCAGCCCAGGAGATGCAGAAAGGTGGTGAAATTAGGGTAAAATACAAGTCAGCGACTGTTTTAGAAGAGGCTACGTGACTGACCCTTCCTTCATTCACTCTCTTAGGTTTTTCTCACCCAAAGATCCTGTCCTCCATCCTTTTCTTCCTCTTCCCCTCCTGTAGCTGGGGTACACTGAAGTGTCAGTTTTCCTTTGCTCCTGTGCCTCAGGTTGTGTAAACAGAGAAAAACAAGTTTCGATCAGCAAAGAGAGATGGGGTTTATGTGTGATTTTAAGAAGGGGATTTTTTTTTTTTATTCATGCTAAAATGTTGAGGGGAATTACGCTAACACCAGCCACAGCTTAAACACAGGACTTGCTGCCACAGTTTCAGAGCGGTGTGAACGTAGTCAGCTAAAACACTGTTCTGGCTGGGGAGTTTCTGAGGGGGCTGGATTGAGCCCCGTGTCCTGAGCACAAGGTATTTTCAAGTGTCAACGTGTCTCTCCCATCAGGAATGAGAACCAACAAAAATAGATGGGGGAAAGAGGGCAATACGTTTTTCTAACAGTAAAACCACGGAAGCATCTCTGGAGATGTGTGCCCATCCAGCATCACATCCACATCCCTGGCTTAGGGAGCTGTGGAGGAATTCTGAGGGGGGGCTGCAGGGAGGGGGGGGGGGGGGGGGGGGGGGGGGAGAGAGCGGGAGAATAAACCTTTGCCGCTCTAAGAAATCCTGAAAATGTCCATCAGAAACGCAGCGAGGATTCGGAGGCTTGCTGGAAGCGTTCCAGTATCGGAGTCTTTGTCTCCATCCATCACAGGCACTGCAATCTTTGTGCCCCCAGCTTCAAACAAGGGCTTCACGCTGTCCTTGCAATCTGCCTTTATGCAGCGGAGTGTGGAGGCTTCTAATTACGAGGCCGAGCGGCGCGGCGGGTGGGGAGCCGTGCTGAGCCCCACAGCCGCTACCTGATTATCCGTTGCCGAGGTCGTTAGAAGGGTTACTCCTGAGTTTAAGCCCGCTCCGCAAGACCCCTAATTATATGCTGCTCTGCAAGTTGCATTAAAAAAGAAATTGTTGAAAAGACAAAGGACAGAATAACATTTCCTCCCTCGTCTTCCCCCCCTCCCCACCCGCAGCACACACAGACACACTCCCCCACCTCTCCCCGCTGGGCCCAGAGCTACTTCTCACGCTTGAGTTGGTGCAAGCTCTGATAAAGCCATTGAAAGATGCAGCGGGGAGACAGAGCGCTCCCAGGGACAGAGGGAAGCAGAGGAGGAAGCCGAAGTGAAATGACCCCCTCCCAGGTAGATACAGCCAGGCGCCGCTTGCTGAAGGAGTTGTCCCACAGAGCAGAATTAGAGAAGAGATTAACCGTCCTTTATTGTTTTGTTTCACTTCCTAGGGAGCAGTGTAATGTGGTTTCTTCCATCGTGAAAAACCTGCTTCATCTGGAGCTCCGGGAAGCCTGAATCACTATAGATAAGACATTCAAAGTGCAGTATCCCTTGCACATGCTGCCAGTTCTCATTTTAATCTCCCCAGACATCAAAAAAATTAAAATGTAAAATTCTAAGCTGTGCAGCTGAGTGACGTGAAGGCTGCATTCGCTGCAGTGCAGTTTCCAAATCTGGGACATGCACACATGTGTCCATCCCTGTCAGAGATAACGGGTTTATGTGTGCTCTCCACGAGCCCATGAAGTGTACCACTAGCAGAGATAGGGAATTGAATGGGTTCTTCATTACCACACGTCTGGACTACTAATGAAACTGAACCCAGGTTGATAACAGGAGCACTAAATATTTCCAGCACTTCTTGGTGCGATGGCAACATTTTCAATTTGCAGTGGAGATTATTACAGCACCAAGGGCAGCGGTTTTTTCAAGATTGCTGTTTCAAGGGTGGATGTTTTTATTGCTCTTTGCATTCCAGTAGTACCTGAAAGCCTGAGTGACAGACCAGGGTTTCACCACACTGGGTGCTGTACAAACATGGAGGGGGGAAAAAGGGATTCTGTGCTGCAGATCGGGGTTTTTTGAAATGTGGCTGTGGAGTTTTTTCATGGCTTTTGTAGCCATAGAGAAACTCATATTTGAACAGAAATTTCAAAGTCAAAATGTCAAGGTTTGAGTCACTTCTGCACTGGAGTGCCTTGCCAACTCTGTCATGTTATGCTCTGCTGTAATCTGTGAGCTTTAAACCTTGCTCAGTCTCTTGAACATCTCGGTTGCAGTGCTCTGTTGTATGCTTCTTATTTCTTACTAGTTTGCCTTCGTTGTACTCTGATGTGTAGCACTGGATTTGCTGCCCACCCAAGGCACTAACAGCAGGGAAACTCCTGCTCCTCCTGTCTAATGTGATTTTCATGTTTTTCCCCTCCTATGTTTTCATGTATTCAGTTTGTGTGGTGAGGAGGGTACCTGCAGCAATCTTTGGGGCTCTGCTCAGCGTGGCTGAAGAGAGCAGTGATGCAGCCACACTGGCAGCACAACACATTATTCCTGTGCATTTGTTGTCATTCCCTCCAAATGCACTGGCTTGAGCACCAGGAGGGGAGTTGAATCTGCTTCTCTCTTGGTCACCCTGTGCTCACCCACGTTGGTCCCTCCACAACAAGATCCCAAACCACTGATGGATCACTCTCTCCCCTTGTGTGTGTGTTTAATGTGAACTCATAAGCCTCTTTCTCTGGGTAAGGTGAAATAATCCCAAACCTTGAATCCAGTAGCCCCAGTTTTTTTCTGTGCATCAGCTTGATGTACCCATTTGCTTTCTCATGTCCTGCTTTTCACTGCTGCCTCTTGAAAGATGTCTTAGGTGTGGTTACTGTGGGGCATCATTCCTGGCTACCTACCCAAGAGCAGGTTGAAGATGGCCCTTATCCCACTTGCAGTTTTATATGACTTTCATGTTTTGGCAAGATGGCACAACAAAGATATCAGCTGCCTTAAAATCACCGTAGAGAGCAAAATCTTTGTTTCTGATGGCATTTGGAGATCTTCCAGTCATGCCTCATGTTTTCGTGACATCTGTGCCTTAAGATAGTTCAAAATCTCTTTGATTTAAAAATGTCATCTTGCTTGAGCTGGGGTTGTAACCTTGTCTTGAGCCCAGGTGCAGGAGTGCTGATGCTTTCCTTGTGCCTCACACCCTTGGGTTAGCGAGAGTCCCTCGTTGGCTCTTCAGGTTTTGTTCTGTGATATCTCCCTGCTTTAAAAGGTGCAAAGAGCCATCACGGTGTTTTCATGCATGGTTTGGCAGTTGCTTCAACCCCAAAGTCCCCAGAGTCTGCAAGTTGAGTCATTTTTCTGCTGGCAGAGTTGTGCAGGAGGTTTGCCTCAGGAGAGGGCAGACAGTCTTGAGGCTTTGGTCATGCAGTGTTGAACAGTCTCCAGAGTGAGTGTCTTGCTCATTTTGTCAGTTCGAAGTAAAAGAATTTGAAATCTAGAAGTGGTGAAGATGAAAGTGAATTTGGTTGTAGCACTTTTCAAACCCCTGGACACAGGCAAGACAATGAAGCAGGAGCACGTTCAGCCCCAGCTCACCCAGCCAGTGTTTGACACCATAACCCATTTCACTGAGCTCATAAACATGGGCATGAGCCACTGCTGCTTTTGGGAGACAGCACTGGGACTTCCACTGGGATATCTGCCAAGGAGGGGGTAGAAGGGATGTGACACTGATGTCTCTCTTGAACCAGGACACCTTTCATGTGATCATTTTCCCTTTCTCAGAGTCAAAACTGTCTATATTCTTACCTCTTGTCCCAGAAATCTGGCTCTCTGGTTTGGAGGCTGACTAGATACCAACTCAGACAAGCCAGATATGGCTCAAAGACTTCTAAATTGGGAAAGGATGGCTTAGTATTTGTTATATGCTTGTCTTTCCGTTGTGTGGAGATGTTTTTTGGGTTTCTAAACAAATAAGCACTGGCTGAGATCAGGTATACGTTTGTACTAGTGGAAGTGAACCAGGAGTGCTTTGATAGGGCTGCATTTATTTATTAATTACTTTACTATTGCAAAGAGTAGATCTCCTGGCTGTAGCCCAGGTGGATCTGAAATATCCACCACAAAACACTGCAGTAGCAATGCAAAAGAAGTGTGCTTGGGTTTCCACGAGGTGATGATAAAAGGTGTGCTGGGCTGATGCAAGCCCTGGCCCTGCAGCTGGTGGTGATACGTGGTGACCTCCCACTGCAGCTTCCCAAACAGTTGTGAATTTTTCTGTTTGCAAAACTCATAACAAATCTCTTCCACTCTTGTAAAGCTAAAGAAAACGTTTATATTGGAAATAAGGGATGAGCAGGTGGAAGAAAGTGAGGTCTTTAGTACAGGCCCTGAGCTTTACTGAAAGAAAAAGAGTGAAGTCGTGGGGTCAGTGATCATGACTCAGAGTCGAAAGGTTATGGGTGAAAAAGAAGTGGAAAAAAAAATGGACTGTAACCAGCCCTGTATGTGGAAGGTTTTTCTTGCTAACATTTCATCAGTTGATCTCCCAGAACGCTGGTGTGGATCAGTTCAGCAGAGGTTAAAACCCAACACCACTGGGGTGTTTCGAGAGCCCCCGTGCAAACGGAGCAGTGTTAAATCCCAACCTCGCAAAGATGTTTGGAAACCAAAGATGTTTGGAAAGCAGCAGAGCGGGTGGCTGGGAGATTAACTCTGCACGGGGACACTTTGGAGAGCCAGAGCCACAATGGCAGTTTCAGTGCCAGCTTTGTCCCCGCTGCCAGAAGGGACTTTGTCAGGGGAGTCCTTTGCCATGGCACTGCTCCCCCAGCTGCTGGAACAATTGCTCAAGACCACTGGCAGTCAGCATGATTAAAGCAGCCTTCAGGCAGCTTTCTTTTACATGGGCAGCTCTCCAGGTCCAGGGATTGGCTCGGCCTGGGAGGATGCAAAAGGAAGTTTGCCATATTGAACCCTTCCGCGCTACATCTCTTCTTCGTCTGCCTTTAAGGGTCAGGCCTGGCTCTGTGGTTATCTCTAGTCACCCCAGGTTGCAGTCCATTAAATGCTCCCAGTACCTCTGGGTATTGACTGATGTGACAAGATAGATATTTTTTTCTTACTGCATAAAGGGGTCGTTTAATTGTATTAATTATCTCATTTATGGCCAGACGAACCAGGATTTTAGCTGTATGAATTAATAATACAAACCAGGAGCACCCTTAAAACTTAAACCCCTTTCCTTTCTCCCAAGCTGTGCAGCAGCTGTTAGATCACATTTGCAAACCATAACTAATGTGACTGCTGATAATGGAGTTACCAGTTTTGTGTCAGGATAGAACTGCAGGAACCAAACAAGGCTGTTTGCTGTGCTTCAGTTTTTTCCTTAGGCCAGGTACAGCCTTCCCTTTGCCTTTGTATTTTTACGAAGGAGAGCTAGGAGGTATGTTTACCAAAATGGATTTCTGTCCCAATGGGAATGGCCTTCTTTTGCTTCCCTGCTTTTTATATGTGCGTATGTAAATATATGTAAATGTATACAGGGGCTTGGATTTACCCTCTTCGTCTCCCCCTCCCATGTATAATGTATGTGTTAAACACGTAATCATTAATCAACTTTGTGGGGAGTGGAGACAAGAAGGGCTCTTTGATGATAGATGTATACTTGTGACTGTGCTTGTATGCCTGTTTATTAGGCAGCACAGTGCTATCAAAAGAAACTCCAGGTCCCCAAGGATAAGAAACAGCATAGGGAACAAATGAAGAGGAAAAAAAATCCAACCCCTCTTACTGTAAAACCCTCTGTCTTCTGCCATCTGTCTCCTTTTTTGGAGTGAAATAAATTGGGGAGAGATCTTTGAATGAGGTGCTTATTTGTAATGCACAGAAACATTTATGTAGAGCAGAAGCAAAGTTGTGGTTAACGTTGCCTCTGATGGCTGGGAGTGTTGGGGGCAGGATGACATTATTTCTTTTGTCTGTACATGCTGGAAGTGGTTTAGAGAAAAAAAGCCTTCGGGATATCGT